TAATCTCTCAGGCCAGAGAGTCCTAATATTGAACACGTATTGTTTTATATTACTGCTACTTGGATTATTCTGTGCATTATACAGAATATCATCAAATGTAAGAATAGTGTCTTACTCATTTTTTATTTTCAATATCCCCTGGTAAATTATGATAAATCTACTGAGTAAATAAAGAAATTTGTTATTTAAAAAAAAAAAAAACTCTTGGCAAATCTACTTATTTTTCTATATAACTGAAAGGTTCAAGGGACTTTCAGAATTTTCCCATATAAATTATTATCTAGGAACTGAGTGATACATTTACATGGACACAGAAACCTAAAAATATACTTTCAGCTATTTACAGGATTATAATCTGATTTGGAACACATTTTGTGCCACAATTATTATGAGAGATTAGTGATACCAAAATCCAAAGGGGCACACTTATGTTAAGAGTACTTAGGGGCCAGGCACAATGGCTCACACCAGTGATCCCAGCACCTTGGGAGGCCAAGGCCATCGTTTGAGCCCAGGAGTTTGAGACCAGCCTGGCCAATGGCAAAACCTTGTCCCTACAAAAGATACAAAAATTAGCCAGGGGTGGTGGTACACACCTGTGGTCCCAAGCTACTCAGGAGGCTGAGGTGGGAGGATCACCTGAGCCCAGGGAGGTGGAGGCTGCAGTGAGCTGTGATCACATCACTGCACTCCGGCCTGGGCGACAGAGACCCTCTCTCAAAAACAAAACAAAACAAAACAAAACAAAACAAAACAAAACAAAACAAAACAAAACAAAACAAAACAAAACAAGAGTATTTAAGAGAGACCCTACAAAGAGGGTAGGACTTGAATTGAACTTTAAGAGATATTTAAGAGGTGATAAAGGAGTGGAGGAGGAAGTATAGGAATTGGAAGAGAAGAGACAGGCATTAATTATCAATTATTTTTTATTCCACTCTGAAATAATTCTCGTCTCTCTCTTCTTATTATTCCTTATCTATGTAAGCAAAAATTAGCTTTCTCTACCAACTCACCTAAAACATGCCATTTCCAAAATCTTCCTTAAAATTTAGGTAAACCCCTCCTTTTCCATACACCCTTTCTTAATCCACTGTGTACCAAAATTTTTCTAAATTTACTATATAATCTCTAATAACCACGTAATCTCTTAGATGTCTATAGTAAGCTTCTTGAGGGCAATGCAGTTAAGCCTCATATTTGTTTACCCTCTAAGGAACTTAGAACAAAGCCGAACTCACTGCAGATCCTCAGTAAATACTAATTAATTTAAGGCAGGGATAAAGGCTTAGAGGAGTGATGTATCTTAAAAATGGGGCAATTAAAGAACTTGAGTTTATACTAAAAACAGAATATAAACTAAGAGCCAGGGATGGCCTCAAACATCCATTTAAAAAATGCTGAACTGATCAATCAGGCAGACTCGTTGAAGGTTTTTATATTTGAGAATGGGACTATCATGACTAAATCCATATTTTAAAAAGACTTCTCAGCCCTGTAATCCCAGCCCTTTGGGAGGCCAAAGGGAGAAGATTGCTTGAGCCCAAGAGTTTGGGACTGGCCTGGGCAATATCGTGAGTCTACATCTCTACAAAAAGTAAAAAATAAAAAAACAGAGAAGTATGGAGGTGCATGCCTGTAGTTACAGCTGCTTGGGAGGCTGAAACAGGAAGAATGCCTGAGCCTAGAAGGCCGAAGCTGCACTGAGTTGTGCTCACATCATTGCTCTCCAGCCTGGGCAACAGAGTGAGACCCTGCCTGAAAAAAAAGGGAGAAAAAAGATTTCTCTATAAAAGTTAGTTCTGGGGCCGGGAGGGTGGCTCACCTCTGTAATCCCAGCAGTTTGGGAGGCCAAGGTGGGAGGATCACAAGGTCAAGAGATCGAGAGCCATTCTGGCTAACATGGTGAAATCCCATCTCTACTAAAAATAGAAAAATTAGCTGGGCATGGTGGCGTGTGCCTGTAATCCCAGATACTCGGGAGACGGAGGTTGCAGTGAGCTGAGATCACGCCACCACACTTCAGCCTAGCGACAGATCGAGACTTCCCCTCAAAAAATAAAAAAAGTTAGTTCTGGAAAATTAGTCTGAATTAATAGTGAAGAAAGAATTCAAGAATCAAGTTAAAGGAACCCATGATAATGGGAATAGGGGGAAGAAATATAAAAGAGCTCAATAGAAGGTTACAGAGAATTAAAAGAAACAGAATAGCCAAAGAAGACAGTGAAGTATTCTGGACCTGACTATGATTATTCAATTAAAAAATCTCCAATAAAGTACAAATTTGTTTAATACTTTCAAAATATTTTAAATGCTTTAAAAAAATCCACTTTAAACAAATATTTAGAGGGCTGATTAACTTTGCAAAGAAACCTTACTTACCAAAGCAGGATACCATTCAGTCCTCTCAGTTGTAGACACCACACTTACAACTTTTCCTAGTAACTCATCATTGAGACGTCGCTTGTCTTCGTCTTCCTCTTCACTACTTTCTTCTTCCTTTTCATCTTCGGTACTAAAAGTTAGAATAACTTGATCATTATCCTAACACAAACTATTATTTGATACAAAGTATTGTGCATTTAATATGGTCAATTCAATTTCTAATGGATTACCCTTAAGTGGTAGCCTCTTCATTCTTACTGTAATTGAAGACATGGGTCCCTCCTTAGCCTCACAGAAGTATGTAGTCCTGAGCTACCTAGGTAACTCTGAGTTCACTTGACTAGATTAATGAGTGCTTGGACTTAGGCTCTCATGCCACCACCACCTGGGACAGAAAAACCTAATTACACACCATTAAGTACTTATTTTGCCAAATACTTTTTTTTTTTTGGAAGACCGCCCTTCCATTTTAATGCCAGATAATATAACTTTAATTTTCTAACTTGCTATGAAGATATCTCATTAAAACACACCTAGGGGTTTATTTAGGTAACTTATCTGGGTAACTAAAGTTTACCCTTATGTGTCAACAAATTTTAAGTGCATATATATATAATTATTATTATTTTTTGAGATGGAGTCTCGCTTTGTCACCCAGGATACAGTGCAGTAGCATGATCTCGGTTCACTGCAACCTCAACCTCCACCTCCCAGGTTCAAGCAATTCTCCTGCCTTAGCCTCCTGACTAGCTGGGATTACAGGCATGCACCACTACTCTAGCTAATTTTCGTATTTTTAATAGAGACAGGATTTCACTATGTTGGCCAGGCTGGTTTTGAACTCCTGATCTCCAGTGATCCGCCCACCTCAGCCTGTCAAAGTGCTGGGATTACAGGTGTGAGACACCGCACCCGGCAAAGCCTATAGTTTTAAAAATAAAAATAACTACGTACTCCCATTTGAGCTCTTAATGAATATACATTGAATCTGACAACTTCTTGAAGATACCCTGCAATGATAATGTTTGGTAATATTGCCATAATTACCATTATGTTGATAATGATTGATAATGTTGCAGTTTACTGAAATATACAGAGCTATTAGCTCTTATTAAATGGCTCAAAACCATTTAGCTCATTATATTTTTCTGGTTTTAATCCTTCATTTTTTCTCCTAGACTTCTCAGCTGTGTGACTCACTGACTACATTTACTAATCCTACCTATATTTTATTTTCACATTTCTTCCAATCTACTGCACTCAGAAACCAGATAACTCAATGTGTTAAAATTATAAGGGAGTTTTCTTTCTTTTTCTTTCTTTTTTTTTTTTTTAATTGAGACAGAGTCTCACTGTGTCGCCAGGCGCCAGGCGCCAGGCTGGAGTGCAGTGGCACTATCTTGGCTCACTGCAATCTCCACCTCCCAGGTTCAAGCAATTCTCCTGCCTCAGCCTCCCGAGTAGCTAGGACTACAGGTGCGTGCCGCCACGCCCAGTTAATTTTTGTATTTTTTAGTAGAGACGGGGTTTCACTATGGTCTCAATCTCTTGACCTTGTGATCCGCCCACCTCGGCCTCCCAAAGTGCTGGGATTACAGGCGTGAGCCACTGCACCCGGCCTGGGAGTTTTCAGTAGAAGTCTATGGAGCTAGCTTATGAATAAAAACTGGGTACTGAACTATTAAATATAGATCATGTCCTGAGTACTTATTACACACTGATAAATTTATATATATTATCAGTTGGGCACAGTAGCTCATGCCTGTAATACCAGCAATTTGGGAGGCCGAGGTGGGTATATCATTTGAGGTCAGGAGATGGAGACCAGCCTGGCCAATACAAGAAAACCCTATCTCTACTAAGATTACAAAAATTAGCCAGGTGTGGTGGCACATGCCTGTAGTCTGGCTACTCAGGAGGCTGAGGCACGAAAATCACTTGAACCTGGGAGGCAGAGGTTGCAGTAAGCTGAGATCGCATCACTATACCCCAGCCTAGGTGACAGAGTGAGATTCCATCTCAAAAAAACAAACAAAAAAAAATGAAAACTGTATACATTATCTAATCCTCACAAAATCCGCAAGACATTATTGTTACCATTTTCCTCAGCAATAAATTGGGAATAATAATATCTTGCGGGATTTTATGAAGATTTGAGTTAATACACATAAATGTAGTTAACTTTAAAGAGCTTAATTTTCCCAAAGTGATATATCTAATACATGGCTGAGTTGGGATTTCCATTTAGGATCCTCAGAGGTCTTTTATCACTTTCTGGTTTGCAGCTTAAGAGTTATTTGACTTTGCCTTCAAAGATATTCATTATACACTCCCCAGCAGCAGTGAGTACATATCTAATACCTGGATCTTGGTTTCTAAATATTATTTCCCACTAAAAGAAATGAGAAACCCTTGTAGAAATGGCCAATTCCAGATTGGCGCAGGGAAAAATTAACATGAGCCTAGGATACCTTCTCATGTCAGAAGGTGAAAAAGTGCTCAAGAAATGGTGAGGCCATATCAAAAGAACATAAAAGCCATTTTGGAAAGGCTCCCTTGGCTAAATCTGGAACAACCTGAATTATAACCCATTAAGTAAAATTAGAATCCATAGTGCTAGGAAAAGAATTTCATTATAGCTAAATGATAACTAAAAAATGTAGCAAATAGAAAATTCAGCATTTTGCAATCTTTATTAATAACTGATTCAGGTAAGAATTATTAGTGGATGATAAAACCTGTGAATGAAAGTTTGACCTCGAATAGAATATTTAAATAGGCTCAAAGTATCTCCATGCAGGCTTATAAATTACAAAAGAAAAAACGGTAACTATAATAATTCTGAAGCGGAGAACTTTGGTAGACACCACCTTAACCAGGTCATCAAAGTTAGTATCACCAAGTTTGGGACAAACTGATAATACTTTTTGCTGTGATTTCCTTGAGCACACAACATCACTTATAGAGTATTACTGTCTAAAATGTATAATCCGAATCTAACAATGAGAAAACAATCCGACAAACCTGTATTTGGAAACAGGTTAAAAGACTACTGGCTTGTGTTCTTCAAAAATGTCAATGTCATGGGGAAAAAAAAAAAGACTACAGAACTTTTTCCAATTAAAGGAAACTTAACCACATAAACTAAATGCAATGCATGATCTTGAATTGGATCCTGGAATCAGGGCAAGTGGGGGATACTATAAAGGCTATCATTGGAACAAGTGGTAAAGTTTGAAATATTAACCATATATTACGATAGTAGTCTATCAATGTTAAATTTTCTGAATTTGGTATTCATACTTTGGTTATGTAAGAGCATCTCCTTGTTCTTAAGCGTTAATTGATAAAGGGTCATGATGCTTGCCACTTGCTCTCAAATAGTTCAGCAAAATAAAATTATTATTATAAAATACGAAAATAATTACTATATATGTATAAAAGAGGGAATCATAAAGCAAATGTGTTAAAAAATGTTAAAAACTGGTAAATCTAGATAGAGTATATAGACATTAGGCTGGGCACAGTGGCTCACACCTATAATCCCAGCACTTTGGGAGGCCGAGGTGGGCAAATCAATCACTTGAGGTCAGAAGTTCGAAACTAGCATGGCCAACATAGCAAAACCCTGTCTCTACTAAAAATATAAAAATTAGCCGGGTGTGGTGGCAAGCCTGTAATCCCAACTACTTGGGAGGCTGAGGCAGGAGAATCACTTGAACCTGGAGGCAGAGGCTGCAGTGAGCTCAGATAGTGCCACTGTACTCCAGCTTGGGCAACACAATGAAACTCCATCTCAAAAAAAAACAAAAAAGAGTATACAGACTTTCATTGTATTATTCTTGCAATCTTTAAGTTTGAAATGTTTTTGAAACAAAAGATAAAAAACATATACTCATTTAAAATAGAAAAATCATCATATGAATTAAAAACTTTGGCAAAGTAACTTAAAACAAAAATAGTATTTTTGAAATAAGAGTTATCATCCTTCCTGGGCAAATAATGGGAATAATTAAGATCAAGGTCGACTCGGGGTAAAATGTCTAACGTAAGAATACGAGATGCTATGGAAAGCTTACCCAAATGAATTTAGCCATTCCAGGAAAATCACTTGTTTAATGTTATAATAATTGTAATTATAATGATACCACATATGAAAAACTCACACAGGAAGAGAAGACCTCCTTCCTCTGTTTGTCTTCTTTGCAATTACTGGAGTTCCAAAATGCTCTGGATTTGTTAATGGAAGCTGGTCAAGTGTCTGTATAAGAAACAGATTAATTAAATCACATTTTACCTCTAGATCAGTACCAACAGTTTAATCCAAATAGTTCATCCATATCACCCTACCTCACTCTCTGCAAAATGTCTCTCTCCTTTCAGACAAAGCGAGGTACGTCTCAATGTTCGCTCATCACCATCATCAAACACTATAATAAGCACAAGATATCGGAGAATTTATGCACACTAATGAAATAAAAACTTAAGCACACAATGCTCTTATTATTATCAGAGCTTAATATTTGTAAGAACCATTATTTTAGTCATTTTACAAAACCCTTACAGTACACATATCATGCCATATTTTTCATTCCATAGATACCAAAAACACAGGTTAAATGGCTGCCCATAACTGCTTAAGTATCTCCAGTTGTTTCAGTAACCCCTTTTTTTTTGAGACCTAGTTTCACTTTGTCACCCAGGCTGGAGTGCAATGGCACGATCTTGGCTCACTGCAACCTCCGCCTCCCAAGTTCGAGTGACTGTCCTGCCTCAGCCTCTTGAATAGCTGGGATTACAGGCATGTGTCACCACACCCAGCTAATTTTGTATTTTTAATAGAGACAGGGTTTCACCATGTTGGTGAAGCTGGTCTCCAACTCCTGATCTCAGATGATCCACCCATGTCGGCCTCCCAAAGTGCTGGGATTACAGGCGTGAGCCACCATGTCCGGCCTGTTTTTTTTTATTTCTATCACTATAGAACCACCTTCTTAACCCATCAGCAACCTAGTCAAGCATAAATATTAAATTAACTGCAATCACAGAAGAATGAACAAAAACCTGATTTTAAAAAAAGTATTATGGATTTTTCCACTAAAGCTATCAATAGTGTACCCCTAATTTCCAGAAACTGACTCCTGGTGATGCTACTGAATTATTCTACTGCTTCTGATTATTTGCAGATAACCTACTACACATGTACTGGCTGCCAAATTCTAAAGTCATTAGATACAAGTTCTTTCTTTTGTTAGAAAAGGATATAAGTAGTTTATTTAAAAATATACATATTTTTTAATAAACTAGAGACAAGGTTTTCCTATTTTACCCAGGTTCGTTTCAAACTCCTGGTCTCAAATGATCGCCCTGCCTCGGCCTCTGAAAGTGCATGGATTACAGGCATCTGCCACTGTACCCAGCTGAGTAATTAGAAATAAAGGTTGCAGTAAGAAAAAGACAGGCATGAAGCTTTTAGAGTAGGCGTGGTGGCTTATGCCTGTGGTCCCAGCTACTGGAGAGGTCAAAGTGGAATGACTGCTTAAACCAGGAAAACCAAGGCTCAAGCATGGTTACTGAGCCATGACTGCGCCACGGGGTGACAGAGCAAAATCAAGACTCTGTCTCAAAAAAAAAAAAAAAAAAAAAAACTGGCACATCAAGAAAACAGCTACAGAAAAAAAAAAAAAAAAAAAAAAGATATAAAGTCTTTTTAAAAAGAATCTTTAAAAAAAAACCATAAATACATAGATGCTTTCTCAAGTTTTTTACTTTTACTGCATATTTTTAAAAATCATACCACTTGGCAAGGCACAGTGACTCACACTTGTAATCCCAGCAGTTTGGGAGGCTGAGGAAGGCGGATCACCTGAGACTGGGAGTTCAAGACCAGCCTGACCAACATGGAGAAACCCCATCTCTACTAAAAATACAAAATTAGCCAGGCATGGTGGCGCATGCCTTTAATCCCAGCCACTTGGGAGGCTGAGGCAGAAGAATCGCTTGAACCTGGGAGGTACAGGTTGCAGTGAGTCAAGATCATGCCACTGTACTCCAGCCTGGGCAAGGAGGGTACCAAAAAAAAAAAAAATATATATATATATATATATATATATATAGTACTAACTTTCTTAATTCTAGATACTTTTCTATTGTAACAGATTAGGTTAGTATTAATTTTAAAAATTCTATATTACATTCGTTTAATATCTAAGAATCTTTTAGTTACTTATGAAATTACAATCCTGAATTATTTTCTTGAAAGGCTGCTTTATTAGCAAACACTTTGCCTTTAAATCCTACACTTACCTTTAATGAATAAGTTTTTCAAAAAGAAAATTATATAAAAGCTTTCAACAGTTAAATATTTGTCTACTTCAATCAGTTCTCTCTGTTAGACTAAACATACCTAGCTTAGATTCTCTTACATGCAGGAGACAATGTGGAGAAAATTAAAAACTCCTGAAGCACGTACTCAAAGAACCATGATTCTACAAAAGCAGCTGTGCTATAAACAGTCAATGATCCGGAAATTAATGACTAGCTGCAGGCATAACGACAGGTTAAAACACAACATCCTCCAATGATTACATCACTGATGTGCACTTGAGTAATAGTGCACTAAATATTTAATATAAAAAATTATGATTCATATAGTGTCAAGTCTAACCACTGTTCTTTTAAAATTTTTAAATCATGAAACTATCACAAACCAAACAATGTAATTCTTGTCAGTACTAGTGTCTATAAGTATAAAATTTCAAAAAGAATAAAACATAAAGGTTTTCACATTTTCTTAATGCTTATAATACCAAAGATGATGATACTAAACACACACACATTTAAATGGAGGCATGAAGAAGGAAAATGCAAATATAAGACCAACACTGCCAAATTTATATAATATGTTTTCCATAGTGTTTTATCATTAATCAATGGCAGCACTAAACCAAAATGTTCAATGAAAAATTTCAACAATTTCAACATTTCAAACAAAAAATTTCAGCAATTTTTGAATTTGAACAATTCAAAAATTTCAACAATCACTTCAAAATAAAATCAGATTTTTAGAGGGAAAAATTCATTTCACTTCAATATACTTTATCATGGATAGAAACATTAAATACAAACAAAGGGATTTCTCAAAAGGGGATTATAATACAAACAACTATTTTACAGTTTTATACAGGAACCCTCCCAACTTTAAGTGAAAAAAAGAAAGAGTTTAAGATTTATTTATTTAGAGACAGAGTCTTGCTCTGTCGCGCAGGATGGAGTGCAGTAGTGGCATGATTTCGGCTCAATGCAACCTCTGCCTCCCGGGTTCAAGTGATTCTCGTGCCTCAGCTTCCCAAGTAGCTGGGACCACAGTCGCATATCACCAGGCCCGGCTAACTTTTGTATCTTTAGTAGAGACAGAGTTTCATCATGTTGATCCGACTGGTCTCAAACTCCTGGCCTCAAGTGTCCCGCCTACCTTGGCCTTCCAAAGTGTGGGATTACAGGTATGAGCCACCGCACCCAGACTAAGATTTTTTTAATTCACAAAATTATACAAATATGTTTTTGAGTACCTTATAAATTAGTTAAATTATGTAATTTTTCAAGATATTCTGAAAATTACAGATGTGAACCACCACACCTGTAATCCTGGTGCTTTGGGAGGCCAAGGCAGGAGAATCCCTTGAGATCAGCAGTTGGAGACCAGCCTGGCCAACGCAGTGAGACCTTGTCTTCACCAAAAAAAATTTAAAAATTAGCTGAGTGGGGTGATATGTGCCCGTAATCCTAACTGCTCCAGTGACTGAGGTAGGAGGATTATTTAAGCCCAGGAGTTCAAGGCTGCAGGGAGCTATGATTGCCACTGCAGTCCAGCCTGGGCAACAGAGTGAGACTCTGTTTCTATACAAAATTAATTTTTTTTATAAAACCAACATTATGAACTTATTAATCAAGATATCCTATCAATGAATAAACTATGGTACAAATAGTAGGAAGAGGAAATATTTCTATTGCTCAAAAATAAAAACAAAAACATCCCCTTGAGTTGGTGCTATAAATTGTTCAACATTAAAGGGGAGGCCAGGAGCAGTGGCTCATGCCTGTAATCTCAATGCTTTGGGAGGCTAAGGTGGTAGGATTGCTTGAGCCCAGGAATTCAGGGCTGCAGTGAACTATGAATAACAGTACAACTGTACAAAAGTCTGGGAAAGACCTTGTCTCTAAAAAAAACAGAGCAAGACCCTGTCTCTAAAACAAACAAACAAAAAACAAGAAATAAAGCATTAGAGGATAAACTATTACCAGATTTTTTAAAAATGGAGTCACACTATATCCATGATCTCTTTCAAAATTGATTAATAAAGTTTAACAGAAGGGAAATTGATACCTATATTATGTAAGAAGCAGTTAGGACTACAGGCACATACCACCACAGTATCACCGACTCTAATGATAACTTCAGATCACTAATGATCCTAACTCTTATTTGATCCAAACCAGCAATGTGGTATCCTCTTTTGTTTCATTTTTAATTATCTGACATAATTTCTGGTATCTCATGAAACCAAAAAAGGTCATGGAGGTCATAAACACTTGGAACAATTTTCTGATTATACTCACATAATACTTTGCTAGGAACTGGAAATCAAGAAAAATTCCAGAAAAGAGCAATTAAGCTCAATAGGTAGTAGGTACTCACTGAAAGAAAAATATGGGATGTTCATGACCCAAGAGGTTATACATTTCATTTTGCCATATTTTTAAACCAACTGGTAATTCAGGTCATTATACTCTGATCATTCTTTATGTGATCCACTTCCTTCAATATCTAAATGTTCTTTACAGCAGTGCTATGTTGAGTTTTCTGAATGGAACAGTGCCTTTCAAAATCTTTTCATGAATTTCCTTCATGCACATAAGCGCAAAAATCTTTTAATATTTTGAATTTGTCTCCCAAATAAAACTGTTTCTCCCTATTTTTATAAGTGTGAACTACTTGCATCAGAATCACTGACATGCTTATTAAAGCATTCTTGTTTTGCCATCCCCAGGCCTACTAATTGGAGCGGCTTAAGGTCGTGAAATCCTCATTTTTCTAAGCAAGCACCAAGTGATTCTTATGTACACGAATGCTTGATACCTCAATTATACGCAATTAAGATGCTAAGCTCTTTGAGAACAAGAATTATACAATTTCTTCTGTAATTATCCAACACAGAAAATCACCATAGAAAATGCTTAGTAGTGACTAGTTTTTAGAAACACTAAAATGCTACTCATGTAGAGGACAGGGGTTGCTATTCATAATTGAATAATTACTCTGGGATGAAGAAACCAGAATGAGAAAATCTCAAAAGTATTCTTTCTGTAGAGCATACACATTTTATCAATAAAGCTTTACTGGTAATATGAGTATAACCTTTCTAGTGAGTGCAATATTATTATCTGAATATGCATCATATATTTTCTGTTGATTCTACACACACCTGTAATTTTTATCAGGTCTTTAACAAAGCAAAGTTGTATTTACTTATTCTCTAAAAGTTAACATTAAGCTTAGTTTTTATTTGTTTTTTTTGCGATAGAGTATCACTCTTGTTGCCCAGGCTAGAGTACAATGGCTCGATCTAGGCTCACTGCAACCTCAGCCTCCCAGGTTCAAGTGATTCTCCTGCCTCGGCCTCTTGAGTAGCTGGGATTACAGGCACCCACCACCAGCTACTTTTTGCATTTATAGTAGAGATGAGGTTTTGCCACGTTGGCCAGGCTGGTCTCAAACTCTTGACCTCAAGTGATCCACCCATCTCTGCCTCCTAAAGTGCTGCGATTACAGGTGCAAGCCACCATGCCCAGCTGCTTAGTTTTTACACATTTAACAAATATCAAAAGCCATAGCTAAGCTTCCTAAAAATACGTAGTTCAGAATAATAGCACCATTGTGAACCAACACCAAATTCTAGGAAGTCCACAAAGAATCAAAAGCTTAGAAAAAAGCAGTTACACACAGCAAATTGGTAGTACTAACAGAAGGCACAGGGTTAGAAACAGAAATTTTTAAGCAAAGCACAGTTCTTCACAACACTGAGCATCAACTGGATATGAATTATTTTTACCCAAAGCAACAAATCAAGTAAACTAAAAGTAAACCTAAATGATCGTTTCTTTTATATCTACAAGAAAATCACAAAATAACTACACCACTTAAACCAAGAAATAAGTATAAAAACCAACAATGCTATAGATTGGATGTTATCCACAGGATTTTGTAGTTTAAAAGTACTGAGAGAGAGAGATTTGGAAATGTTACCTAATGCTATTCTCATCAACATAATGACAGTAACTACTGAAGTACTACTTTTAGGTTTTAACTCACGTGTACTATGACACTTGTTGCTTCTTACTTTTAATACAGTAAAGCTATCTAAAGCCACTATAAGCATATGCATGGAATGTTAAGAACACATTCATATTAGGAGCATCTGTTTCTTTCTTGAAAGCTGTTTTTTGTTTTGTTTTGCTTTTGAGACTGAGTCTCACTCTGTCGCCTAGGCTGGAATGCAGTGGCTCGATCTTGGCTCACTGCAACATCCGCCCCCCAGGTTCAAGCGATTCTCCTGCCTCAGCCTCCCAAGTAGCTGGGATTACAGGCACGTATCACCATGCCTGGCTAATTTTTGTATTTTTAGCAGAGATGGCATTTCACCATGTTGGCCAGGCTGGTCTGAAACTTCTGACCTCAATTGATCCACCCACCTTGGCCTCCCAAAGTGCTGGGATTACAGGCATGAGCTACCATGCTTGGCCTTGAAAGCTGTTAATATGATCACCCACACTGCGTCAAAAATCAAAAAGTAAGTTACAATCACCTAGTCTTGAAGCTACTATGGTCAGAATTTTTTAAATCTATAAATTGTCTGGCAACATCTACATTACCCTCATATAAAATATGTAGCAATACAATAAAGACTGCAACTGTGCAATTTTAATTGCAATTATAAAAAAAGTGATCACAATAATGTGATCTAACTTTCTTGAAGAGAAACATCAAAATAACCTAAAACAAAAGTACATTCTTGGATGAAACAGACACAAGTGGCCAAGTTACTGTAAGAGATAATTATTTTTGTTACCTATGGGGGCATTCTTAGAATTTTAGCCAGCTATATCCAGTAAACTGACGGGAAATAATACATATTTCTCTGCCAACACAATGTTTCAGTGTATCCACAAACCACAGATATACGCAACCTTCAAATCAAATCTATGTGTTAAATTACTTAATTACTTACCCACAGTATACCAACTAGCATCTGTCAACTTGCTGATAATAGCTTCCTGAAAAGATCCATCAGATGTCCTTGTTTCAACAATAGCTCCCACCTAAAACATGAGTCCAAATTTCCTTACCAAATTTAAACAAATAAACCAAATCACTCCCACCAACCATATAATCTAGGTAAGAAAAATAAATACCACACTTATAATAATTCTATCTTACATGGTCTTAAATCTTTATCATTTATAGTACTTGTCTATTTATTATGCAATTTGAGTCCCAAAACACTTTGACAAAAGTTAGGTAGCTATTATGACCCCTACTTTACATAATGAAAACTGCAGTTCAGAAAGAGAAAAAAATTTGCAAAGTCCAGGATGAGAGCCCAGTCTCTTAAATCTTACTTCAGAGCTTTTCCACTGTATCACAGTGCCTTCAAGAAAATTAAATAGAATAACTGTAAAATTATAGGACAACCAAAATAGCCTCAATTTCCTTTCAAAGAAACATTGAATACCAGATTCAACATTTATATTTAAGGGACCTTTTAGATAAAGGTTCACCTGGAGAGAGAGAGATGGACCAGTCGACCTCCTTTCAGTTTCCAGACCTTTGCATATCAGATATTAACCAAAGTGGTACTCTGATATAACAGATTTATTATATAAACAAATGGTCAGAAATGGATGGAAAACATAATCTAGGTATTCATTAAATTGAATTAGAAAGTGAACATGGTTTACTTGGTAAATTAGAACAAGCAAAGTTTCAGGTTTATGATACTCAACTTAGAAGGCTAAACATCACCTCAGATACAGCAACAATGCGAAAAACGAAGTCAGGTATTCAGTTCAAGGATTCAAAACAAAAAGGTAGGTGAAAAACTCAACATGTTTATATATATTAAACTACCCTTCTAGAATATGTTTAGTATTCTAAAACTTTGAATATAGCTATTGCAATATTTAAACCCTTCATTTGGACTGTTTTCTGATTAACATTCTCATAAAATGTTAAATCTATGTAGAAATGTAAATTCAATAAATATGGTATAAATCTATGATTATTTTAGATTTTAAACTGTACAACATACATACTCTTAAAGGACCCTTTACTTGGTCATCTTGTACCAATTGTGTGGTATTATCCTGTTTCAGGAGTACCTGAAAAACATTTTGCAAAATAATTTGCATATTACTTTTAAAACATACACTTATAGTAACATTGTAACAATAAAGTCTCTAATTTATGCTTTCTTAGCACCCTGTGGCGACCTCTGCTATAAAACTTATTACATTCTCTTAACTGTGAGCTGCTTGAGGGCTGAGTCCTCCCTTCACTGCTATATTCCCAACAGTTAGCAAGTGTGAATGCATATTACCAGTACTTAGTAACTATTTACTGAATGAACTATATAATAATCTGTAGTGATTATTGAAAAAAAAAAAAAACCTGCCTTTATTGCTTTTTATTAACAAGTCACAAAAGGTTCTGACTGTCACCAAGTACACAAAGAACAAAAAAAGAGGATCAAACTGTATTGCCTATATGCAAGGTAAACAAATTAAAACCAGAACTCTCATCCTTTATAAAGTAAAGCTTAACAATAATCATAATACGCAATGATATAAACAAGTGCTCCCTTCCACTACACATCTAAATACAGAGTTGGTTACTATGGTCCAAGTAACACATGGTCCAAATAAATTCAAAATCTAGGTAATGTACATATAAGACCTCCTAAAACAATCATTATATTAATTTTAAATAAATACGAGCCACAATACTAATAACAAATTTAAATTGTTAAAGAATCCCAAATAAATACAGAGTAATCAAATCCTACATAGCTGACATGGTAAAAAGACTATATGAAACAAAAAGAAATGAATGTCAATTGGCAACTTATCATAATAAATACTTGAAGTTTCATCAAGAAAATTGAAATATAAAGTTTATAATAATCATAGATCCATCTAATTATCTACCCTACAAATCACACTCCTTTACTCAATGTTTCTCAAACTTTTTTTTTTTTTAGACAGAGTCTCAACCTCCAATTCCCCAGCTTAAGCAATTCCCATGCCTCACCACTATGCCTGGCTAATTTTTTTTCTGTTTTTAGTAAGGACAGGGTTTCAGCATTTTGGCCAGGCTGGTCTCAAACTTCTGGCCTCAAGTGATCTGCCCACACTGGCCTCCCAAAGTGCTGGGATTATAGGGCGTGACCCACCATGCCCAGCCTGATTCTCAAACTTTTAACATGCATCAGAAATATTTACAGGCCTTATTAAAACACAATTACTGGATCTTACTCCCAGAGTTTCTGATGAAGTAAATCTAGGGTGGGGAAAATTTGCATTTGGAACAAGTTCCCAGGTTAAGGCTGATGCTGCTGGTCTAGGGCCACACTTTAGGCATCACTGCTCTAGATCATTCATTCATTCAACAAATTTTGAGTGTCCACTATATACCACTATTCTATGTGTTGGGCATAGAACAAGTCAGACGTTTCCTCCTTTTATGGTGCTTAATTCTGATAGGAAAACATCGGATATATAAGTGAATAAACCAAACTGCAAACTGCAATATAGCATAATCTAATACCAATGACAATAACTGTATGACAAGCACAGTAAAACAATCTGGAAGACTGCATCAAATCTCTTTGGAGTCGTATCAAGGAGGACTTTCACAGTATTCTATACCACTGCAGGATGAATACAGTTAACAATGCTATACTACATGGTTTCAAATGGTGGCGACCAGGATACTGAATATTCCCAACACAAACAAATGAAAAATGTTTGAGATGATGGATAAGCTAATTATCCTGACTTAATCACCATACATTATATGTAGCAAAACATAACTATGTAGTCCACAAATATGTAAAATTATTATTTGTCAACTGAAATAAATAAAATTTTTTAAGGAGGAGGACTTAATAAACTATATTTATACCTCTATAATGTAAAAAATGTTTATAATAAGAATTGATTACTTTTTAAATTTAAGTATAAAGTAACAGAGACTATTAAAAATATATTCATATAAGAAAACTACTAGAAGGAATCACCAAAAAAAAAAAAAAGTTATTCCCGAATAAAAGCATCTTAAAAAAATAATTTTTCTTTTTTTCTGAGACAGGGTCTGGCCCTGTCATCCAGGCTGGAGTGCAGTCACACCACCACAGCTCACTGCAGCCCTGACCTCCCAAGCTCAAGCAATCCTCCCATCTCAGCCTCCAGAGCAGCTGGGACCACAGATGCCTACACCACCTAATTTTATTATTTTTATTTTTGAACAGGCAAGATCTCACTACGTTGCCCATGCTGGTCTTGAATTCCTTGGCTCAAGCAATCCTCCCTCCTCAGATTTCCCAACTGCTGGGATTACAGGTGTGAGCCACCTCACACAGCCAAATATATATACTGTATATATTTTTAAGTCAGTTTCCCTCTGCCATCCAGGCTGGAGTGCAGTGGTGGAACTTCAGCTCACTGCAACCTCCATCCCCCAGGTTCAAGTGATTCTCTTGCCTCAGGCTCCTGAATAGCTGGGAATACAGGTGTGCACCACCATACTCGGTTAATTTTTTGAGACAGAGTCTTGCTCTGTTGCCCAGGCTGAAGTGCTATGGTACCATCTCAGCTCACTGCAACCTCCACCTCCTGGATTCAAGTGATTCTCTTGCCTCAGCCTCCTGAGTAGCTGGGATTACAGGCACCTGCCACCACAGTCAGCTAATTCTTGTGTTTTTGTAGAGACAGGGTTTCATCATGTTGGTCAGGCTGGTCTTGAACTCCTGATCTCATGTGATCCACCCGTCTTGGCCTCTCAAAGTCCTAGGATTACAAGCATGAGCCACCACGCCCAGTCTAATTTTTGCATTTTTAGTAGAGAGAGGTTTTCGCCATGTTGGCCAAGGCTGCTCACTTGGCCCTCCTTCAGTGCTGGGATTATGCCCAGCCCAAAGTTAACTTCTTAAATGCTTTTTTACACTATCTTGAAAACATAATTCCCATTGTATTTGTATTGTCTTAAACACTGAAATTGTTTCTACCTGAACATTATAAGAGGGGAGAAAATAGATTACAGTCCAAGTATGCTCCCACAAATAGTTAAGATCCAAATGACAGAAAATATCATTAGCATGGTATTTTGGTGGTAGCATTTTGTTGGTGGTAGCATTTTGGAATAATTTCCCTTTCTGAGGGTGTTTTTTTTTTTTTTTTTTTTTTTTTTTTTTGGTGGTTTTTTTTTTTTTTTTTTTTTTTTTTTTTTGAGATGGAGTTTTACTCTCTCACCCAGGCTGGAGTGCAATGGCACGCTCTTGGCTCACCGCAACCTACGCCTCCCAGGTTCAAGGGACTCTCCTGCCTCAGCCCCTCCAGTAGCTGGGATTACAGACATGGGCCACCACATTGGCTAATTTTGTATTTTTAGTAGAGACACACTTTCTCCATGTTGGTCTGGCTGGTCTTGAACTCTCAACCTCAGGTGATCCGCCTGCCTCCTGGGATTACAGGCATGAGCCACCACACCTAGCTTATTTTTTTTTTTTTTTTTTTTTTTTTTTGAGATGGGAGATTCGCTCTGTTGCCAGGCTGCAGTGCAGCTGTGTGATCTCGGCTCGCCGCAACCTCCTCCTCCCAGGTTCCAACGATTCTCCTGCCTCAGTCTCAAGTAGCTGAGACTACAGGCACAGGCCACCACGCCTAGCTAATTTTTTTGTATTTTTAGTAGAGACAGGGTTTCACCATGTTGGCCAGGATGGTCTTGATCTCTTGACCTTGTGATCTGTCGGCTTCAACCTCCCTAAGTGCTGGGATTACAGGCGTGAGCCACCAGCCAAGTTCTCTATTTCTCAATTTTTAATGTGCTTTTCCTGTAAGTTTAGTATATACAGTATCTTCATGTAATGACTCAATAAAATGCTGATTTGCAGTCTCTCCCCAACTTTCTTAAATCTAGAGTTAATAAAACTATTGCATAAAAACAAATATTACCTTAACTTTCACCAGCCTTTTCACAGTCTTAATCTTTGCCTCACAGAAGGCACCTCGGTACTTGGCACTGACATCAGTTCCCACTGTCAGGTAGGCAGGCTCATCCGCCGCCTGGTGAAAAGAACATAAACTGTGAATGTCATTACTACCTCTCCCTACTCCAACCTCGAGTCTCATTAAAAGATTGTGTTTGAAGCATTAAGAATATTTAAATAACTTATTAGTATCACTGAAAATTTGAAAATACCCTAAAGCAAACACTTGATTAGCAACCCTTTATTTTATATACTGATGTCCCGATATGATAAAATGTTTTAAAATTGTAATTCAAAATTATCAGTGACAAAATACAATGTTTTTTCTCCAGATACAAAATTTTTCAAAAATTCTACTATTTATATAAGCAGAAAAATAAGAAAAGACAAGAAAATATTTCATATTACACATATCATAAAATTAAGTTATTCATTTATAGCCTCCTGAAAATAAGTTTTTAAAATAATTATATATTAAAAAATTTAATAAATTTATTTAATTTCAAATTAAAATAAATACTGCTACTTAAACTAACACTAAAAATAGATTAATTGTTCATTGACATAGCTATATAAAGGTAACATCTTTTCATAAGGAGAGTATAATTGGGAAAATTCATTGGCTAAAAGCTGCATTTGAAAGGTTTTAAGTTTGAATTCAGCCAATGAATGCAGATATGAACCCATGGCTCAAGACTTGTAGACATACCTAGTTTACCACACTAATCTTCTTAGTATAAAAATATAAGCACTACTAATAAACATCTACTTTTAGCAAACGGACATGATCAGAATGATACATCGAAAGATGTGAGAAATTTCACTCTACCACTCATTTTAATCTTAACGGTAACAGGATGATTGTTATCTCAATCTGTCATTTCACCCTTTTTTTTTTTTTTTCCCAGAAGTTAAAGTGTATCCACACAAGTTCAACTTAACATTGTTAAATGCAAAGGTAACAGTGTATACTTTGGAGATACGTTTTTAAATAGAAAATCTTTTTTTGTTTTCCAATAAGTTTTCCCAAGTAATATTAAAGAAAGTTAAACAGTCATTTACTTCGAGAAAATAGAAAGCCATGAGAAAGTTTGGGAAAATGCTGTGTTTCAGAGCTTAATATACTGAAATAGTAAATAAGACAGGAATTAGGTACGTTTTAAAGTAAGAGCATTTACAAGAAATACAAATTGAATAGGAATGCTTTTGGCAAATAAAAATCTGACCTGAAACATTCAACGGCCACAGCATTCAAGAATGTTATATGAGATCCTTTCCCTTTAACCATCCACATACTGTTATCTGCAGTCATTCTCAGTAGAATATGTATTTTTTTAGGGTCAGTATATGTTTTTAAATATTTACTGTACAGATTTAACTAAAACTATAATATAGTTCAACTTCAAATATTTTATCCACATGAGTTCACTAAACACACAGAAGAAATGATACCTTCACTACTTAATCCACGTATTCTTTCTCTTAGAAAATCACATTGGCACTGGGGAAGAAAAAAATTTTCAAAAAATCCCCCAAAGAACCAAAGCAGGACAAAAGCTTTACTTCTGCAAAGGTTGCTGCCAATACAGGAAGTGTTTAAAAATACTATCCTAATGGACAACAACTGAAAGGCTGCACCAGCCTTTCCAAAGTGCTGCTACAGAGAGGGCCCAAACTCCGCATTTAGACACACAGATCATTTCTCACCCATTCAACACATCCTCCCTTTGCCGAAACTGCTGCTCAGTAGGGACATCAATTTTGAGTAGCGAACAAATGACATTCCAAGGCACTAGTCTCACGACTGGCAGTGTCCAGGGCACGAGGATCGGGGCAGCGTTGACTCCACTTACCTTCATTTTTGTTGGTGATCTGTGGGGTTCCAGCTCAGCGAGCTATCTTTGCAGTCGCTAGAACTACGGGGAGGGGGAAAGACCGGCACAGAATCAGTCAACTGCGGGGAGCGACCAAAGGAAAGAAAGTAAACAAACGTCAGCGGGCGGGGCAGAATTGTCACCGGTCAAGGGACAAGACCCCTCTCCGAGGGCAGACGCAGGATCTGAAGGGGCAGCTAGAACCCTAGACGCGCCAAAGAGCAGCCCGTTCCGCCCCGGAGCTCGCCAGCGGCCCACCGCGCCCCCGCCTCGATGGCCACTTGGACCCGGAATGCTCAACTCGGAGCCCCAGGACAGATAGCTCGGGAAAAGGGCAAGGCGCCGTTCGGGTTTCCCCAGGTCCCCCGCGGAGGCGACCGCCAAGCCTCCGCTCCGCTGTCCCCCGGATACCCCGACTTCGGCCCGCGCCCCGCCTCCGCCGCTCGGCCCCCTTGGCCAGCCCCGGGCCCGCGGTGGCGGCAGCGGAGTGTCACGGCGCCATTGCTCTCGTTCCTTCGCTCTGCACCATGTCAGGAAGGAGAAGCGCTCCTTCACCCGAAGGGGCAGGGGCCGCGGCCTTCAGCCGGGAGCCGCCAAAGCCTCGGGAGAACCGCGCGGGGGAGGGGGCGGGGGGCGGAGGGAGGAGGAGGGGAGGTGGCCCGGACTGGGTGTGGGAGGGGAGGGGAACCGCACCGCAGCAGCCGCCGCCTCCTCCCCGCGCCCGCCTCAACTTTTTGTACAGCCCAGAGAGATATCAGCCCCCGGCCCCTCCAGTCCTGCCACGGACTCCTCAGGGGTGGAAGGGCCGCAGAGTTGGGGGACGGCTCCTCCAAGCAGCCCGCTTCTACCGCGCGGAAGCAAACTTAGCGGCGCAGCCAGCCCCACAGCCATTTTCCCGGGAACCCGGGGAAGCGGACGAGGAGGCGGCTGCAGCGGCGGCGGCGGTTCCCGCAGTTCCTGCCGCTTCTCCACGGCTGGCCCCTTCCCTTGCGCTAGCCGCACCACTTGCCTAGCATCCCTCTCCCCACCTCCAAAGCTTCCAACTGCACCGGGACCCCGGGCAGCAGCAGCAGCTGCTACTGCCGCTTCGTCCATTCAGTATCCCCCGATTCCCCTCTCCCCACCTACCAACTGCGGGTGAAGTGCGCGCTGTCAGCTCCAGAGTCCTCCGCCCCTCTGACCTCCGTGGGCCCCCGTCCGGGCAGCACCACTCCCGGCCGCGGCGACAGTTCCTGCGCCCGGTTCCCCACTCGCCCCGATATACTGCCACAATCCACCAAATAACAAGCTGTTGAGCCGACTCGCTTCTACACGAACTCCTATTGGCTGTTCATGACGCCGAAGAGCTTCGGATAGGACCTCGCTACCTGCCGTCCTCATTGGATGTAGCTCTGAAACTTCATGGATTGGTGCGAAAAACAGCAGGTAGGACATCTTCCACTTATGATTGGTTTTTTTTGAAGACCAACGTTATTGGAGAGTTGGTTATTGAGTAAGCAAGTCCTGAGAATTGATTGGTAGACACGACTCCGGATGTGCTTGACTGGACACTGATTGGTGAATTGAGGGGTCAAGGAAGAGCAGTTCGGCACGAGGATTGGCGGCGGAGTGTCCCATGGAAACGGAACCCAGAATTGCAGCCAGGGGCTTGCACGGGGGCGGGGCAGTGTCTTTCCTAGGCGCCTGCGCCAAACCAGCTTCCCGGCGCCATTTTGTCTCGGCAGCTGTGGCCGCAGCTCCATCGCGTTTTAGGTTTCTGGCGAGAGGGAAACGGAGTTTTCATTTGGTAGATTCGTTTTTCTGCGGCAGCCGTCCACCGTTTCCTCCAGGACAGCACCTAGTCTTGGACGGAGGAGTCTCAGAGCTGTCAAAAGGTCAGTTGGAGGCTGTGGTTGTCCGATTGACTGGGGGGGATGGCGCAGCTCTAGCGACACCGGCACCGGAAGTAAGGGGGCCGCGGGCAGCCATGGTTTCAAGTCAGTTCTTGGCGGCGGGGTGGGGAGAAGGGGTGGGATGAAAGGGGGCGAGGCTTCCTCTCCCGCCGAGAGAAAGAGAGGTGGAGGAGAGAGAAACCTCTTTCTTGGAGGTGATCATTTGGGCTCTCGAGAATGTGAGAGATTTTCTGGATCCTGTCCCTCTCTGAGCAGTCGTTCCTGTCTTTGGAAATGCATTTCGGGGACTTGCCATATTTTCCACCTGTTTGGCACCAGCTGTGGGAGCCTCTTAAGACAGCGAAGAAGTGGTTCTTAAAAACATCCTGCTGGGAGAGAGCTTTCCGCGTGCGCCTCGCGCGATAAAGCTGTGAGGAAACTGGAGAAAGCGCTGGCTTTCTGGATGCTGAGGAGTTTACTTGCCAGCGCAGACGCTGCTTCTGTGACCTTAGTAGAAAAGCGTGTGTGTCACTCCGCACGAGGCTTATGCTACTTTTTGAAAGGAAACTGATTTTGTAGGACTGAAAACAGACACAAGGACGTCCCAGATAAGATAGACGTTGATCTTGTTTTGTTAACATCTTGTGTTTTGTTCAGTGAAACAGACACATATTTTTAAATAGGGAAATTGGAGTATAAATTAACTAGTTTTATAGAATGGAATGATTTTTTAAATGTGACATTATCGTCAGTAATATTCACATGGACTAAATTTTCTCAGTAAGAAAACGTTTTAGCAGAATCAGTTTTTTATTTATAACAGGGATTTTACTCAAAAGTATTCATTAAGAAAGTGAACTGTATGTTGGTATTTCTAGTGCGTGACCTAATCATACTGGATAGATCCTAATAATTACCCTGAGTACCTGTTTTAAACCGTACTGCTATATCGGTGGCGCTCAAGACTAGAAAATGGTTGTGTGACTTAATAATTACTGGGGTTTTTGGCAGTTGTGCTGAAGAAAACAGAACATGTCAGTGGTAAATATCTCAAAACATTACTGAGGTGAGTCATAATGTCTGTAAAAATCTTTAGAATTACGGGGGACCACCTGGAAAAACTTTCTGTGGATTAGCAGAGGAATACTAGAATGGACGAAAAGTAGTTCAAAGATGTTTTGTTTGTTCAGATTCAAATGAGTCTATATAATTAGCTTCCTGGTGTAATGTTTTAGAATGAAATCCCAAAATCAGGACATCCTTGCGGATTTGTTTACCCATTTATGTGGTTCTCATTTCTGGATTTCGAAGTACCTAATGTTTTTATCATTAAACATGCACATTTCAGTGGCTCACGCCTGTAATACCAGCACTTGGGGAGGCCGAGGCGGGTGGATCACCTGAGGTCAGGAGTTCGACACTAGCCTGACCAACATAGTGAAACCTCTTCTCTACCAAAAATACAAAAAATTAGCTGGGCAGGATGGTGGGCACCTGTAATCCCAGCTACTCGGGAGGCTGAGGCAGGAGAATCACTTGAACCCTTGAAGCCGAGGTTGCGGTGAGCTGAGATCGCGCCATTGCGTTCCAGCCTGGGCAACAAGAGCGAGACAACGTCTCAAAAAAAAAAAAAAAAAAAAATGCATATTTTTGTGATACCCATCCCACGTATTTAAAAATTTCTCATGTAAAGATCTTGTAAATAGGAGTGTTGAGGGGTGAAACAGTTTTTTAGAAGACCTTCTAAAACAGTGTATTACTGAACTTTCCAGGGAGTAAGCATCCGTAATTCCACTATCGAAGTTTAAACTTTTATTATCTAATCCAAATAATGCATGGACATTTGGATATTACTAAAAAGCCCAAAACTGTCTTGCAAAAGATAGTTACAGTTTAAACTGTAGTTATATGTTACACAAAAGACTTTGTCTTTCGTGGTTTTGTTTTAGAAAATATTCTAGTTTTGCTCATTTTCTTACCATCTATTTTTGTTTGTAGACATTGGGAACATTGAAAATATTTTGTCATAAAGCATCTTTTATGCTTTCATAGTGTTTTGTGGGATAAATACACCGTAATTTATGTAACCCGCTTATTTTTATGTAACGGCAGTAATATGTCAGTGAATATACTTGCACATGTTTTGCAAAATATTGTGTCTAAGAAGGTTGTTGCAGAAATAATTGTGGTTTTTGCATTACTGGCATTTGCCATTTGATATGTTATACATCATTTTAATGGGCATTTCTTTTTTTTTTTTTAATAATGACTTACTACTTGCTGTTTATTTCATGTTCATTTTATTTATTTATATATTTATTTTGAGGTGGAGTCTCGCTCTGTCACCCACGCTGGAGTGCAGTGGCACTATCTGGGTTCACTGGAACCTCCGTCTCCCGGTTCAAGTGATTCTCGTTGTCTCAGCCTCCCGAGTAGCTGGGACTACTGGCGTGTGCTACCATGCCCAGCTAATTTTTTGTATATTTAGTAGAGACAGGGTTTCACTGTGTTAGCCAGGATGGTCTCGATCTCCTGACCTCATGATCTGCCCACCTCAGCCTTCCAAAGTGGGGGGATTACACGCATGAGCCCCCTCGCCTGGCCTGCTTGTTTATTTTAGACCGTGAAAATGATGCTAGACAAAAAGCACATTTGAGCAGTTTTCTTATTTGAGTTCAAAATGGGTCAAAGCAGCAGAGACACCTCCCAACATGAGCAGTGCATTTTGGCTCAGGAACTGTTAATGAACGTACAGTGCAGGGGTGATTCAAGAAGTTTTGCAAAGAGGAGGAGAGCCATGAAGATGAGAAGCTTAGTGGCTAGCTGTCAGAAGTTGGTAACTGCCAGTTGAGAGCAATCAGCAAAGCTGATCCTCTTACAACTATTTGAGATGTTGCCAAAGAACTCAATGTGGACCATCTATAGTCATTCAGCATTTGAAGTAAATTGAAAGGTGAAAAAGCTTGATAAGTGAGTGCCTGTTATTTGCCCTTATTCTATACAACCACAAATCATTTCTTGATCAGATCGTGAAGTACAAGAAAAAGTGGATTTTATATGACAACCGGGGATGGCCAGCTCAGTGGTTGGGCTGAGAATATGCTCCAAAGCACTTCCCAAAGCCAAACTTGCACCAAAAAAAGGTCATAGTCACTGTTTGGTGGTCTGCTGCTGGTCTGATCCACGGAGGAAACCATTACATCTGAGAAGTATGCTCAGCAAATTGATGAGATGCACCCAAAACTTGGCAACACTTGCAGTCAGCATTGGCCAACAAAAAGAGGCCGGCCCAATTCTTCATGGCAATGCCTGTCCACATGTTGCACAACCAATGCTTCAAAAGTTGAACAAGTCAGGTTATGATGTTTTGTCTCATCTGCCATATTTACCTGACCTCTCTAACCGACTACCACTTCTTCAAGCATCACAACACCTTTTTGCAGGAAAAAACTTCCATAACTAGCAGGATGCAAAAAATGCTTTCCCCAGAATTCATCAAATCCTGAAGCACAGATTTCTACACTACAGGAATAAACAAACTTAAAAATGTGTTGATTGTGATGGTTCCTATTTTGATTAATAAAAATGTATTTGAGCTTAGTTACAATGATTTAAAATTCATGGTCTGAAAGTGCAGTTACTTTTGGACCAGTGTAGATGCTGAATTTTAGATGCTGAAATTTCTAGGCATCTAAATCTTTTACATCCCTGATTATTTTTGGAATAATCTCCCAGAAGTGGAAATACAAGGCTGAAGGCCTGATGTGGTGGCTGAATCCTGTAATCCCAGCACTTTGGGAGGCCGAGGCAAGTGGATGGCTTGAGTCCAGGATTTCAGGACCAACCTGGGCAACGTAGTGAAACCTCCTCTCTGCAAACAATGCAAGAATCAGCCAGCGTGGTGACGTGCACCTGTGATTGCCAGCTGAGAGGCTGAGGTGGGGCAATCACCTGAGTCCCGGGAGGTCAAGGCTGCAGTGTGCTGTGATCGTGCTACTAAACTCCAGCCTGGGCAACAGTTGAGACTTTGTCTCTCTCGTGCGTGTGTTGTGTGTGTGTGTGTGTGTGTGTGTGTGTGTGTGTGTGTATTATATATTTAAGGCTAGGGATGCTTATACAGTAGTGTATCAAAAAGCTTTTTTTACTGCATTTAACATTTGTTGTCCTTTTCATTACTGTCTCTCCACCCTATTTTCTGGTTTTTCTTTAGCTTTATTTTTGAACATTCTCTCTTGGACCTCTGTTTCTTCAAGTAGAAATATCACAGACTTTAAGTTACACGTACCATAAAATATATGAGAATTTTTCTTGGACCCTAGGATTTATTTTTAAACTTTATATATTTTTTTCACTTTAGGTGAGCATTTGTACAGTGAAACATTTTGCTACACAGAAGTGATGTTTAGGAATACTAACAACAAATTATTTTTATGGTCTAGTTAGTTGAATTTAACTGCTTCATTTTTCCTTGTAGCCTTCTCTAAAGTTTCCCATTCTTGTGTGCATTCGTTCCTCAGTGCCTTGGTAGCCTGATAATAAAGACGTGTGTCTCACCACACTTTCTTTGCATTTGTTTGACTCTTCCC